GATTCAACCGCCTACTTTCTTAGGGGCCTAGAATTAAAGCCACAGCACATATTTCTGACAAAGTTAACTACTGTGTATGTAAACTGGAGATAAGCATCCCTTAGAGCAACACATTTAAAAGGAGAAATGCCGGTGTTTCTGGTGTTCATTTAATGTCCCATTACAATAGTTTCAAGTAACTAGGTCAAGGCAAAGTGTTCTCTTGTTAGTACAACTTAAAGAGTCAGTCTAGTGGCTACTAATATTTGGTTTCAGTGTGAATGAAAGAATGAATATTGTTGTACTGAAAAAGAACTTTTCTATCCCAGAAGGAAAAACCTTTTTAGTTTATTTACTAAAGAATACCTGTACAACTGAATCATCCCATTGTTCAATTAATTCAAATATGTCATATTAACAATTTAGTTTGGTGAAAGAGATTTCGGCAAATGGTGCACGGTATCTGATGATTATCTGCATATATATGTGTTTGTTAGGTACCAAACTATGTGTCTGCAATACTTTAGATAAGATGTGTCTGAATTTGAATCTAGCTGTCCTTGAGCACTCAGCACTGGCTGTGCTCATATGCCCCAGCTGCGTATCAACTTTGTACAGTTGGCTCATCTAAATTTTCAATGTGAGACACACATAGAATGGAGGCACAGACGTAGACTAAGTTGTATCTTCCTCAAAGACTACACACAGAGATGTATTATATTAGTCTTACTGATAAAGAAGCTAAATATGATTCAATTCATGCGTAATATTCTATTTGATATGGAAAATCAATTATTGCTTGATTATTTCATGTTGTCATTAACACCAATACAATAACAATCTCAATACCTCAGGAATGCCCACAAAATCTACTAAGATGTTGTTGCTCTTAGCTTCTTATTTAAGTAGAACAGTTAACATGCTAACATGCTAACTCCAGCTCTAGGGCCATTGGATGTTTATAGATATTATAGGTGCCTGCATGCAACATTCACATATCTGTCTGCACAAAAACACATAATTAAGAATAAAAACAGGGGGCTGGAGGCATGGCGCAGTAGTTAAGAGCACCACTCCTCTTACAGTGGACCCAGGTTCAATTCCCAGCACCCACATGGCAGTTCACAACTGTCTGTAACTCCTGTTCCAGGGGAATCCATTGCTCCTATAAAGACATACCTGCAGTATATATGTAAGTCAATTAATTAATTAAAATATCCTAAAAACAAAAATAAGGGACAAATCTTTCATGAAGTCTATATATTATCATTTTCCAATTACTAAAGCTCACAATTTGTCAAAAGTTATGATGTTAAAAGTCAAGATAGTGGTTAAACTTGCAAAGGTAATGTAGAGTCTTCTAATATGCTGGTATTACTGTTTCCTGAACATATTGCCAGTTGGACAGTAGTGGGAGATTTGCGAATATCCATCAAGTTGTAAAACAATAACTAGTGCACTTTTGCTATGTAGGTCCACTTCAATACAAAGTTAGTTTGAACTTTAAGAAAGGATTGTGGTATGTGATAGGCAATGTGAAAAAAATCATGACCTTTTAGAGATTTACCTTCTTAATTTAGAAAGAACCAGTATGGAGTTAGACATCACTAGGTACTGTTTTGTTTCAAGCTATCTCTGGCATGCTAACCTTCATGTTTTGTAAGAGAGCATTGTGTGAATTTTCTGTTCATCTATTCATTGATATAACACTTTGTCTGACAGCAAGCTCTAGGTAATAGTTTCTCTCTCTCTCTCTTTCTCTCCCTCCTACCCCCAATCTGATACCAAGAATTTAATTCAAGACCTTTCACATGCTATATAAGCATTCTAGTCCTGTGACCATCTTTTGTGAATAAATCCTGTTTTTTAGAAAATAAACCTTGTCTCCCGAACAAAACTGCAGTTGGAAACTGATCTTTACTTCCCGATTACTTACTTCTAAATAAATTTTCCTATTTCTGACAATAAATTATATTCTGGTCTGTGGTGTGTACGTGTTAAGGAAGAGAAAGCCGTTAGTTGAAAAGTCAGCACTGCACAATCCAATGAATAGGGGTCATTACTTTTCAGTTAGGTTTTTTTCATAGCCAAAGCAGAGCTTGTCATGTGTCATTCCCAAGGCAACTATTGGACCATAGCTTAGTCTTAGGTCAATCCACTCTTTCCCCAACCTTATTTCTTGTTACTCCAACTATCTTAAGAGCTCCCACATCTGCTCCTTAATATTCCCCGTGAATGTGTTTCTATGGTCCTCTGTCTCTTTTGTACAATCATTTTTATACTTAATACTTAATTTATTTTTGTGTGTATGTACTCATGCACATGTGTGTGTTCATGCATGTGTGTGTGACACTATGAACATATTGAAGTTAGACGACAACTTTCAGGAGTATGTTCTTTCCTTATCACCAAGTATGTACTGAGGATTGAACTTAGGACATGAGACTTGTTGGCAAGCACCTTTACCCTCTAAGACGTTTCCAAAGCTCCACTTCTATCTTCCTTCTAATTTCCAAATACACAATTCACAAATGTGATTTGCTCAATTGATATGCTAGACCCCAAAAGGAGACAAAATATTCTTCTGCCATTACATGATGTCTTGGAAGTGAACTCTTCTAAAAATATTGTTATTTTATATATGTGTATATGCCTGCTTGTCTGGATGTGCACCTTGCATGTGCAAGTGCTCTAGGAGGTGAGACTAAGGCATTGAATCTCTAGAAGAGTTGGAGTTAAAAAGAATTGTGAGCTGCCTAATGTGGGTGCTGAGACCTAAACCTGTGTCATCTGCCAGAACAGCAAGTCCTCTTAACTGCTGAGCCATCTCTCCAAGAGAGTGAATTCTTGACACTAGTTTTGCTTTCCTTTGCTTTGGTAGTAAAGTCATTAAAGAGTCTACCTGAGTTACATTTTTGTTTGTTTTGAAATACAGTGCCCTGTAACCCAGACAGGCCTTGAACTCCTTATGCAGACAAGGATGATATTAAACTCCTGGTCCTGTCTCAATCTCTTAAGTACTGGGATTACAGGACCATATTACCACACACAGCTCTTAGTCAAATGATATACATTTGCTGAACTGCACTGGGCACTGGTACTTAGAATATATGAAGGCTTAAGACAGTCTTCTTGAACTCAAAGGACACAATTTCACAAGAATGTAGAGCAGCATAGGAACATAGAAGAGAAGCATGTAAAATCAACTCTGTGGAAAGGTCCAGAGAAGATGACAGCTAAGCACAAGTTTAAAGGATGACTGAGTTCACCAAATATGGAGGAGGGTGGGAATTTCCAGAAGAAAAAAAAATAACATGAGTAAGGTCACATAGGTGAGGAATGCCACATACAGTATAAGACATACAAGCTGAAGAGTTAGTGACGAAGAATGACAATAGATGCTATCATGCAAATATGTAGGAATTAGCCAAGTCATCAAGTGCTATGCCTAGTAATTGGACAAATGTTCCTTCCCAATAAACCACAAAATACATATTCACTAAAATACCTTTTACCATAAACTTTGTGCCCTAGTTGCTCTAATGTCAATAGGGTCTGAAATTTCTCTAATGTGTAATGTTGCCTGTTCTATATACATTGTGTTCCCCACAATCTTTCTGCCGCTATGAATTACTTCCTTCTTCTACTTCCTTAGTTACCAACTGTTTACACTGTCCCATGGTGGGTTACTTTCCTTTCTATGAGACTTTGTTCATTGGGTGAACATTGTTTTATTTGCTTTTTCACTCTTTTTATAAAGCCCTTCACATTACCTTTTCTTCTATGGCTAAGATAGGCTAATAACTCATTTGTCTTACCTTTTAGGTCATAGCAGTAGTCTAGAATACTGTTAAGGGGGCATTTGAGGTCTTTTTACCTATTTCTCCACATATACTTATGTGTATATGTGATGTAAGTATGTGCGCATATAAGATCCCAAACCAGCCTGTGATAGTCACCACCAAGGTCAAGGCATTGATACGTTGTACTCACAATCTCTCTACATCCCCGTCTAGTTTGCTCTATATTCCTGGGCTCCTGGGGGGCATATTTCTATTGCAGATGGAAAATTATTTTCAGCCAGCATGGAACAAAGGAACTGTACATAGATGAAAATTTGGCTATTTGCTGGTTCCGTGGTTTGCATGAATTTATACAATTATTCAAAGAATCTACACTCACCTTGTCCATGTCAGTGACGATGGCAGTTCTACCAAATTGTATAGACATGGACAGCGTGAGTGTAGATTCTTTGAATTTTTGATGAAGAGATGCTGTACTCATGATCAGAATTACAGTAAAGCTGTCCTCTTTGGTAAGCTGGACTGGTTCCTTACAGTTTACTTTCTAGGCCTCGCCTTTCTCAGCCGAGTGAACTCCTTTGTTAGGGTTCGAATTTCCCATAAACCTGCTCAATAATTTGTTTGTGTTTGGCTTCTTTGAAATACCACACAAAGCAATCCTTGTAAAAGGGAAAGCTATCATGAAGGCTGAGAAAGGAGCTCGAGACATAGATTCAAAGTCGCTCTTTTCAGTTAGAGGCAGCTGGGTAATCTTATCTTAACTGGCTACATTTCAAGGTGCCCAATTCAGGGGCTTTCCCCTTTGGGAGCAGCATTTGCCCCCACGTGATGAAGGGCTTTCTACTGAGGGGCAAAATTTGGGGGATATCAGAGGCCCAGAGCTGTCTGGTCTGTTCACAAAAATCATAGCAAAACAACATGAGTCCCACAGATTGGGTCTCTCCACCTCCAGCATCAGGGAAGATCAGCACTTGTCCCCAGGACAGAGACCTGACTGAGAAGCAAGGTTAGGAGAAGTCAAGTGTCCAGGAAAGGAGGCAAGATTGCTAAGACACCTGCTCAGCTCTGAGTCAAAAGTTGTCAGTCTTCTTTGGCTCTGGCTGCACAGCTCGCTCACACACAGCCCAGCCCTTTTTCCTACTGCTGGGGCAGGGAATTGCTACATGCAGGATTACCTGGGGGAAAAACCAGAGGCTCACTTTGGTCCCTTCCGGTAATTGAAAGGACTGGGCGTCAGGGAGGGGGAGGAGAGAGCTTCCCTTCATAAATGGTCCCACCCCTAGGCAAGGTGGCTCAGTTTGGCAGGTAGCAACGGGGGAGTGTGCACCTGCCACCAGTCGAGCTCAGCCAGACTGTGAGAAGAGGCGAGGCGGAACGCGCCAAGGGAGTGAGTGAACCATGGACAGATTGAAGTGCCCCAGCTTCTTCAAGTGCAGAGAGAAGGAGGTAGGGGTCTGGACGCTTCTGGAGGGTAGAGCAACAGAGAGGGAAAAGAATGTGGGGGGAGGAGTCTCAGTTTTTGCTTTCTGTAGCTGTTCCTTATTCTACATATTTCTTTCTCTTCAACTCTTCTCAAGTATGCCAGCTATGTTCCCACAAAGTCGATGTGAAAAACAAGTTTTATGCTGGTATTTAGGAGACTTAGGAGCACCTCACACTGTTCCTAAGGAACACCTACAGAATGCTGTTCTTTCTGTTTGTCTACACTGTACTCATATGCTACAGGAAAATGGACTGTCCTTATCTGACCCTGGGAGCATTCCATATTCAAACAGGTGACAGGTTGGAAGAGAACCTCTCCCCAAGTAGAGGAGAGAGAAGGAGAGAGAGAGAGAGAGAGAGAGAGAGAGAGAGAGAGAGAGAGAGAGAGAGAGAGAGAGAGAGAGAGAGAGAGAGAGAGAGAGAGACAGGAAAATTTGTCTCTGCATATTATTCCGTGATTTTAGTAAAACAGTGATTATGTGCTGTAAGTCAGGGAGAGAAGCTATCAGCACATAAAAGTGTGTGGACTGATTTTCATTTAATTGGAATCTACATTTGATACTTCTCAGTGACCCCCTATAAACCTTGGAATGTTGGCTCTTTCTAATTTACACTCAAATCTTTTGTATGTGACACTTGACTTATCTACTTCATTTGCCCTTCATGTTGGTGTGACATTAAACTTCGGATGCTGTTAGGTGAAGGGGCAGTAAAAATATCTACTTAAGATTTCTTTCTTTAATTTGAAGAAGGAAGTGCTAAGTAAAATAGCTACCAACCCCTGCATTTAAAGGGGCTCAAGGCACCTCCAAGAAGTCTATGTTGCTGTCTGGTGCCCGGTTGAGTTTTCCCGCCTGACAGTCTCAGAGTGGCAGGCAGGGCCCAGTCCCCACTGTCTGGGTCCTGTTACCTCCGTTGGTGCCAGTACAATCTGCTGAAATTCTAAGGCCCTCTACCCTTCCCTCTCCAACCTCACAAGCTTCTTCTGTGTGTATTTCAGTTCATTTTTATAATTTTTGGAGCAATTTAAACTCTAAGTTTATTTTCACAAAAGGAAATAAAATTACAGTTGCAAGAGAAAAAAAATACCTACCAGCAGAAATCTCCTTAGTTTTGTCTATCGTTAATACTTGGATGGGAGAAATCTTGATTTTGAAAAGAATGCCGCATGAGTTTTTCAGTCACCCCACTTTCTACAACTCTGTGGACTTGTGAAATTATGCATCTGTGGAATTTGTAACAGAAAGGGAAGACATTGATAATTTTTTCCTTCTTTAGAAAGTGACGGCTTCATCTGAGAACTTCCATGTTGGTGAAAATGATGAAAATATGGACCGTGGCAACTGGTCCAAAAAATCAGATTATCTTCTGTCTATGGTTGGATATGCAGTGGGATTGGGAAATGTGTGGAGATTCCCATACCTGACCTACACCAATGGTGGAGGTAGGTTTTTCCTTGTGTTCTTTTTCCTACAGTGGCATGCTGCATAACTCCCCTCTGTCTCTCTCTCTCTCTCAATATATATATTTTAATATAACATATATAAGCATATATAATATAATTAGAGAGCTTCACACTTGTATATAATGGAATATGAACTAAAGAGAGGTATTTGATGCTTTGAGTTAATAAACAGGATGAGAACCAAGCTAAACATTTGCTAATTGACAGTGAGTTACTAGCTCAAGTTTGAAAACTGCTTCATAAAACTCTCCGATATAAACTTGATTTGTTACATGCAGTACTTCTGAGTTGCTTTGAGATACCATAATAGTCTTCACTAGGACTTTCAAAACTGTGTTCAGACTCAAGTTGAGTTTTGCTTGAATTAGAAGTATGAAAAAGGTGGGAAATCTGGATCTTTTTAAAAGCTCAAGGAAACTGTTTGCTTAGCTAGAGTAAGGCATTTTTATAATTTAAGTGTGACCAAAATAATTGTTAATTAATATTTTATGTTGCAATATTCAGGTACATACATTTCAAATTCCATTGGCAATATAGAATATAAATAATATGCAATAACATTTAGTTCAAGGCTATGTGATTTTATTATTGCAAGATAATTCTCTTTATACCTTGTAGATTATTAAGGTAGGATCAATGAGAACACAAAAATAACTAAGGTGACACACAAAGGGAAATAAAATGAATTGCACAATATTCTAGCAATGTGGAAACAACTTTTGCCTTACACCATTTTAACTTACTTGTGTTTACTCTGTTAGAAGTATATAGGTGACATGTGCCTGTATTTCATAATTGAACACCATTGAAATTTTGCCAGTATAATTATTTTTCTCTTGGCACAATAGACTTGTGTGTGGTGATGTTTCAACCACATTCTTCATTAATTGAATGTATTAAAACATTTACACTGGTCCTCAGACTCAAGAAAGGAGCTCTGTTTCTTAAACACTTATTTGTGGATAGCTTCTAGGACTTAGGTCATCCAACAGTGGTTTTGCTATAAGTATTAGCAGGAAAGAGAGTCGATAAGCATGATCTTTCTGGTGTCTATGTCCTAAGGCTCCTTTGAGTTTCTTACAATTATGTTTATAATAAGATAAACCCTGTAACTTGACATCATATGTTCACCCAATAATTACCATTCATTTCTAGGAAATGAATCAAACTCATTTTAATAGAGAATTGTGAAATATAATGCAAACAAAATAATTTATTTTTTCCTTTGCTATTGCCTCCTTTTCTTCTGTTCACTCTAAAAGTTAGTATGACACACAAATACTCAAATTTTAAAGATCACACCATTTGGGTGATAGATTATCTACATTCTCTAAGTGCTTTTTAGTTCGTGGATAGCAAGGAAAATAACTAAGGATAATTATGACAGAAGTGTACATAGTCAGAAAGCCTGTCTCCATTCATCAAGCTCCATATTGCTTTTGTTAACTGCTGCCAACACTTCTAGATTGTTTGGCTAGGCCATTTAACATTATTTCTCTGTTTCCACTAGTAGTCTGGTAAACATTCTAATGAGCAACATCATAAACTAAATATGGACAGTAAAACAAAATGTTTAAAATGAGAGAAGGGGCTGGATATTCTTATGTGGGTGATTAGTTGCTGTGATAATGGAAGTTAACTGAATAAGTATCAACAGGCCAGTCTTCGAGCAAAACCAATACATTTCTTACTAACATTGACAAATAACCTTGTGACTATTAAAAGAATCATGAAATTAATTGCAGTAATTTACATTCTGAACACTATTTACCTTTTACAGCCTAAGTTTTGAAAGTCATTCATGATTGTTGAGAGAGAGGAGAGGGAGGGAGGGAGGAAGGAAGGAAGGAAAAGAGGAAAAAAGGAAAAAAGGAAGGAAAGGAGGAAAAAAGGAAGGGAGGAGAAGAAGAAGGGAGGAAAAAAGGAAGGGAGGTAAAAAGAAGGGAGACAGAGGAACAGACACTGAAACGTGCCATGTGCTTAATGTGCTGCCACTGCTTGATTAGTAAATTAGTAAATTGATTCATAATTGCTAGCTGCACAGAATTTGAACTCATAACAGAAACTGATGAGTTAGTATTGTGTCCCCCTTGTATAAGAAGGAAAAGTTCACTTGTTACTAAACAGACCTAGGCCAAATAACTGATTAATGATAGAGCCAGCATTTTAATGTAGATGTGTTTGACTGCACAATCTCTGATCTTTCAGCTTCACTAACCTTATATTATAGTAACTTCGCTACGTCATATTTCCACTCCTATTTGACTAATGGGAAACACACAGTTAAGTACCTTCTCACAAAAAAGTAATAAATCTTGAACCTTAAGCCAATTCCCTCAGTTCCACTATATTAGGACACTTTAAAATGTTATGCTCCTTGTCAAAGTGCTCCCAAGACTTTCAGATGTAATAGTATATTTATTCCTTTGCTTTTTAGGTGCTTTCTTGATACCCTATGCAATTATGCTAGCGTTGGCTGGTTTACCATTGTTCTTCCTGGAATGTTCACTGGGTCAGTTTGCTAGCTTAGGTCCAGTTTCAGTTTGGAGGATTCTGCCATTGTTTCAAGGTTTGTATTTAAGACTTTTCATCATCATGATTGTTGGTCTAGATACACATACAACTGTTTTTTCATTTTGTGTAAGAAAAGACAATTCAAAACCCTATCTCAGAAAAAAAAGAAAGAAAAGAAAATTCAAAGCACTGGTCACATATGACCTCATAGAAGTTGAGCAGAGAATGCTTGCAGAAGCAGAAGTGGATAGGAAGGAAGAAGCCATGTTGGTCAAAAATCATATGGTTATAGTTAACACGAGTAAGTTGGCTGGGAGTGGTGGTGTATGTCTTTAATCCCAGTACTCAGGAGGCAGAGGCAGGTAGATCTTTGAGTTGGTGGTCATCCTGGTCTACAGAGTTCTAGGACAGTGAGGGCTATGCAAAGAAACCCTGTTTCAGAAAAAAGAAACAAATTTAAGAAAGATAAAATCTATAGATTTATAAATTGGAGAAATGAAAAATGAAAATCACAGCATGTTTTCTATAGTTGATGGCAGACCATATATTATATTCATATATTATAATCTCAAAAACACAGGGGTCATTAAGTATTCTTACAAATAAAAGGATACTCACCTGGGACAATATGCTTTCTAATCTGATGATTAATTCATTCTACAATATGCATGTGATTCAAACATCACATAGTACATGAAAAATGCAGTTTTCCCTTTCAGCTGAAAATACAAAAATAATATGATAGGGCAAAGATGGCATTGCTCCTTCTGTATATATTTTGTGCATACACATATACATATTCATATGCAGGCATATGTGAGTGTGCATGCATATAAGAGCATGAAAGTCAATGCCATGTGTCTTCCTTAATTACTATGAAATAGTCTCTCATTGAACCTGAGCTCATTGTTTGGCTAGACTGGATGGACAGTAAGAACTGGAGAGAGGCTGTCTCTACTTCCTCAGTGATGGGATTTTAGATGCACACTATTACAATAGGCTTTTTAATAATACAGGTGCTAGAAATCAAGCTTAGGTACTTATTCCTCTATAGCTACAACAGATACTTTACACACAGAGACACCTCCCCAGCCTTCAAATGTTAACTTTTCTTCTTACCTGGAAGCACATATAAGAAGGGTTAGGAAGAACACTAAAAAGATGATTGTCATCGTTACATTACTTGACAATTTTCACCTTTTGCATTATTTTGTCACGTAGTCTGTTGTGCATTAGCTTCAAGACAGTACCTTTAAACATGCATTAGTTTTATTTTTATTTCTATGTATGGGCACATGAGTTTATGTCACATGTGTGTGAGTGCCTGTAGAGGCCAGAAGAGGGCAGTGGATGCCCTGGAAATTGGAGTTACAGGAAGTTGTGAGCCACTCAATATGGGTGCTGAACTCTTGCTCTGGTCTCTGGTCCTCTGGATGATCAGCAAGTATTCTTAACCACGGAGTAGTTGCTCCAGACTCAAAGATCTGCCTTTTCAAATACTTCTTGTCCAGTTTTGTCTTACTGTCTTTGCATATCTTTTTATAAAACATCACCAAGAAAAGAAGAAAGGCAGGTCACCATTTTCTCTTGGATATTCATGATAGAACAGTCCAGATGAAAACAAACTCCTTGATTGTTGTTAAACATTGACTTCTTTTTATCTCTGAAGACTAAATATCATTTTAGCACTCACTAGTCACTGCAAACTATTTGCAAAAACATCAATATATAATATATAATATTGAGGTAAATAGGATGCTTTGCTGGAAGACTGGAGACACTATTTAAAATACTAGTATTAATAGAAGTTATAATCACTATGCTAAAGTGTACTGTGAACCTACTTAGTTACAGAACATTCGGAGGCTGAAATTCAGATTGTTTCTGAATTTGAAAAATTTCTGCATACTTTCTTGTAGAAATACTGGAGTGTGTCCTTTAAGGATGTTAAATCTGAATCTTCCTTTACAATCTGACTATTACTGACTATTATTTTGCAGATAGATATATGAATTTTGGTGGATGAGTCCATAGGCTATAAGCATTGAAGCTTTTTAATACCTGCACTTCCTGCTATGACAGGGAATTAAAGACTTAATAAGAAAGAATAACTGACACAGGATTTTGTGAGTTTTATGGTCAAATCTAAGGTTATTCACCCTTAGCAGTAATAACCTTTTCTCACCAACTAAAAAACATTCTCCAAAAGGCAGTTATCAAAATTGTTTTACATTTAGGTAGAAGGAGCTGGAGAGACTGCTCAGCAGATAAGAACACTCGCTGTTCTTCCAGAGGCCCCAAGTTTGGTTACCAACACCAACACTGGGCATTACAGAGTCACCTGTATCTCCAGCTCCAAGGCATCCATCCAATGCCTGTGTCCTCTTCAGGCACCCACACTTGTGTGTGCATATTCACAAGTGTGCATAAGCACAAATACAATTAAAAATCATAACAACAAAGTCTTTTAAATTTTGGAAGACAGGTATTGAGAGGGTAACACCCTTCGATTCAGGCACACACTTATTTTCTGGATGACAACATAGAGTTATGTGAAAGAGTCTTTTAATTTATTAAAGCTTTTGTAGAAATTGAACTTGGTATTTTGCAGATCAGCAAAACAAATTTTACCGTTTAACTATTTCTTTTTTTCAGGTGTGGGCATCACCATGGTCCTGATATCCATTTTTGTGACAATCTATTATAATGTTATAATCGCCTACAGTCTTTACTACCTGTTTGCCTCTTTTCGAAGTGTACTACCATGGGCCAATTGTTCTTCTTGGGCAGACAATAACTGTAGCAGATCACCAATCGGTAAATTCCATTGGCCTAACTTTTAAAATATTGCTAAGTGTATAATTCTGTTATATTCTCTAGATAAGTTCAAATGAATAACTAATTTTCTAACCAACTTAAGTATACTTTTATGAAAGGAAAAGCCACACCTAGAATTCTCAAAAACCTATGTTCTAAGCAAGAGATAGTAAGAAATTGGAGAGTGGTTTTGAAAAATAATGTGCTATCTTTAACAGCATTAAATAGTAGTTGTAAAGACTGGATACTGCCAATTTCAATATGAGATACTTAACATTAATACTGGAGGATATTGCAATTAGGAATATCCATGCTCATCAGGTGAAGCTTTAATGCTTTGGAAGGGTTTAAAGGGGCCAGCATATCATTACAAGTTAGCTAAGTCTCCCTAATGAAAATTCTATTAAGTTCTAATTCTCAACTGAAAAACCTGTTATTCTATAGCAGTTATTACTGTGACTATAACCAGAGTTTAAATGGACAGTTAGTATCACATGCTTTACCAGTTGGTTGTAGAGAAGGATTTGATTCATTGAATGTAACATGCTCTATTGTATTTATAATTTATTTATTCTATATCTACCAAGTAACAATTTAAATAGGAAATGAAGTATTTCTCATTAAAATCCTTTTTTCTTCCCACAAAAGTATTCTTCTACAATGAAGCACATCTATTTATCTATCTATTTATCTGTTTATCTATTTAAATATCTATATATCTATCATTTTTTAGCAATTGGCTGCAATGTGAGTACAGGGGCAGGAGAGATGTTTATGAATATAAGCTGGGTAAATATCAACAACTTGACCTGCTTGAATGGTAGTGAAGTTTTTCAGCCAGGACAACTTCCCAGTGAACAGTATTGGGAGTAAGTATTGATTGACTTCTTAAACAGGTGTTATTGAAAGGCTTTATGAACCACAATAAAATATTGGCCAGCTTCTTTTATTATACATTTTATTTTGTAATTCTAATATAAGTACATGTTGTGAGTTGGACATATTTCTCTTTACTTCTGTACCTTCCCTCATTTTAATTCCCATAAATAGAAGGAGAACCATGACAGATAAATACTTCATTTGGTTCAGATGTGTACCTACTGTAGGTGAGTTGAACTACCTGAAAAATTAGCTCATTGTTGACAGTGTATGTTTTACGTGTATGTTGTTCGGTGCATATAACACCTAAGTAATGGTTTATTAATAATTACCAGTTAAAGGTTAAAGTTAGGGAATTATAGTGCTTGTGAGATGACTCAATACATAAAAATGCCTGCTCTCAAGCCTGAGGATCTGAGTTTGATTCCTAGAACCCACAAGATAGAAAGAAAAACCTGACTCCTGAAAGTGCTCACTGACTACCCCCCATGTGCAGTGGAATGTGCATACACACATAAAATAAAAAGGAATATAATAAGATAATTCTTTTTTATTATTTATTTTTAAATTTAAATTTAAATTAGAAACAAGGTTGCTTCACATGTCAATTCCAGGTCCCTCTCTGTTTCCCTCCCCTCCTCCCGTGCCCTCCCCCAACACCCCAAATATGACCTCATTTCCCCAGGGAGGGTGAGGCCCTCCATGGGGGTGTCCATAGTCTGTCATTTCATCCAGGGCAGGGCCTAGACCCTCCCCCAAGAGTTCAGGGTGAGAGTACATCTCACATTGTTGGATGGGAGTCCAAAGTCCATTTGTATACCCGGGATAAATACTGATCTACTGCCCAAGGCTCAATAGATTACCTAGTCCTCCTCACTGACACCCACATTCAGGAGGTCTTGATCAGTCCCATGCTGGATTCCCAGGCATCAGTCTGGGATTCAAGAGCTAACCCTTGTCAGGTCAGCTGTTTCTGGGGGTTAAACCAGCCCAGTCTTAATCCCTTTGGTCATCAGTCCTCCCTCTGTTACTGGCTTTCTTGAGTTCAGCTCAGTGCTTAGCCGTGGGAGTCTGCCTCTTCTTTCATCGGCCACTGAATGAAGGTTCTGTTTCCCAGACTGTCTTGCCATGGGATTGTAGGCTGGCACTCCCCAGATCTATGTCTAAAATCCATATATGAGAAAGTACATGGCATGTTTCTGTTTTTGTGACTGGGTTACCTTGCTCAGGATGGTTTCTTCTAGTGCCATTCATTTGCCTGCAAATCTCAGGATTCCATTGTTTTATTCTGCTGAATAGTACTCCATTGTGTAAATATGCCACATTTTCTCTATCCACTCTTCGTTTGAGGGGCATCTAGGTTGCTTCCAAGTTCTGGCTATTACAAATAATGCTGCTATGAACATAGTGGTATAGACATCCTTGTTGTATGAATGGGCATCTTTTGGATATATGCCTAAGAGTGGAGTTGCTGGGACTTGTGGTACGTTTATTCCCATTTTTCTGAGGAATCTCCATACTGATTTCCAAAGTGGCTGAACAAGTTGGCCCTCCCACCAGCAATGGAGGAGTGTTCCCCTTTTACCACATCCTCTCCAGCATAAATTGTCATTGGTGTTTTTGATTTTAGCCATTCTGACAGGAGTGAGATGGTATCTCAGAGTTGTTTTGATTTGCATTTCCTGGATGGCTAAGGATGTTGAGTACTTTCTCAAGTGCCTCTCAGCCATTTTAGACTCCTTTATTGAGAATTCTCCATTTAGTTATTTAGCCCACTTTTTAATTGGATCCTTTGGTGTTTTGGAGACTTGCTTCTTGAGTTCTTTGTAAATTTTGGAGATCAGCCCTCTGTCAGATGTGGGGTTAGTGAATATTTTTTCCCATTCTGTGGGCAGCCTTTTTGTCTTGCTGACTGTGTCCTTTGCCTTACAGAAGCTTCTCAGTTTCAGGAAGTCCCATTTCTCATTTGTTGATCTCACTGTCTGTGCTACTGGTATTATGGTCAGGAAGCTGTCTCCTGTACCAATTCGTTCAAGGGTACCACCCACTTTCTCTTCTAAGAGGTTCAGTGTGGCTGGATTTATGTTGAGGTCTTTGATCCATTTGGACTTAAGTTTTGTGCATGGTGATAAACATGGATCAATCTGCATTCTTCTACATGCCAGCTTCCAGTTATGCCAGCATCATTTGTTGAATAATAAGATAATTCTAATGATAAATGATTAGGGTCTGAAGAGATGACTCAGAGGTTAAGAGCATTTACTGTTCTTTCAGAGGACCAGCTTTTGCCTCCCAGCACCCACAAGGTGGTTTATAACTGTTTGGAACTTCAATTCCAGGGGATACAATGCCCTCTTTTAGCCTTCATGAGCACCAGGCATACATATATGCTCCTATACACATAGGCAGGCAAAACCCTCATGCACATAAAATAAAATGAACAAATTTTAAAATATCAACCACCACTCCTACTTTCAGGGCTCAGGGAACATTTCACAAAAGGAGCCAAAGGATTATAAAAAACAAGACGATCATGTAGTTTGCTGTGAAATTATATCTCCTAATAAAGTCAGAAGCTGCACATATAAAGCCTCAATGACATGATTGCCAAAACATGCGTTGAACTAGGGTGAAACCAATGGAAATGCCCAAGTGGATGAGGGAAAATCCACATGGCTTCAACCCTACACAAAAAATGATAGGAAACTAACTAAAGCTGGTTGTCTCCAGGCAGGAGCACACCAATTGGTTGCCTAGTGCCAAATACTCAGTCCTGAAAACATCCATGGAGGTAGCCTTATGTGTGTGTGTATGGAAAATAAATATATATGGATAAATATTGAGAGAGAGAGAGAGAGAGAGAGAGAGAGAGAGAGAGAGAGAGAGAGAGCAGATGCCTGCAAAAGTCAGAGGACTCAGATCTCCCTGGAGTAGGAGTTACAGGTGGTTGTGGTTGTGAGGCACCTGCCATTAATGCTGGGAACCGAACTCAGGTCTGCTGGAAGGGTAGTAAGTACTCTTAACTTTGAACCATATCTCTAGCTTCAGAACTGAAAATTTAAATCCATGCACGTTACTCTGGGAAATCATGGTGTTTACCAGAAAATCTTTGAAGGTATGAAGAATCAGACTACATGGAAGGCCTCACCCTCCCTGGGGAGCAGAAAGGGTATAGGATAGGGAGTCAGTTGGGGCAGGGGAGGAAGGGAGGGAGAGGGAACTGGGATTGACATGTAAAATAAGTTTGTTTCTAATTTAAATAAAAAAGGAAAAGAAAAACAAAAAACAAGTTTTTAATAAGTGTTATTCATGAATTTATTTTGAGAAAATCCCATATTGAGTCACATGAAGCTCCCAGAGAAAAGTTTTATTTCTTTATATAAAAGGGATTAAAATGTTGGAAGAAAATCATGAGTAAGGCTTTATTCTAGGTGCTTGAAATTTGGACTGCCTTTGGGTAAACTTGAAGTTCAAAGCCTGACTTTTGAAGGAATAATATTTGTTTCTTCACAGAACATTATCTATCAATAAAAGGCTTGCAAGACTAAGCTACAATACTGGAATTTCCCTTTGGATGAAACACATTACAAAGCCCATTGATTTTTTTTAAACAAAGGCAATTGATTCTATACTTACAAAAGGTCTTATATATTTCAGTAAAGTGACACTTCAGCGGTCAAGTGGAATGGATGAAACTGGAGGAATTGTGTGGTATTTAGCACTTTGTCTCCTTCTAGCTTGGCTCATAGTTGGAGCAGCGTTGTTTAAAGGAATCAAGTCCTCTGGCAAGGTAAGTTAGAAGTCACATTAGCGATGCAGTTGCTCTCCAACTTCATTGTAGTTTAATCAAATATAAAATTATTAACAGAGTTTTGTATAGTAGGAGCATTCAAATTCGTGAAAGACTTTTTACATAAGACATTCTAGTTTCACGCATATACATAGCGTCAGTGCTATTGTTAAAAAAGCAAAAATGAATATAATCCTTGTGTAATTCTTCAAACTCAGACTCTACTAGTTGATACATCATTCTGAGGCTTGAGAGCATATTTTTAAAATTTCCTGTCCTACAGTAAGCAGTTTGAATGGTGTGATGTTTGTTGTAGAATGTTTACTAGGATAATACATCAGTTGAAGGAACAGCGAAAATAATATGCAACCATTCCCAATGGAGCAAGACTCTTCTTTGTCATTGAAGGGGTCTCTTCTGTGAAACATTCTTCCTTTTCCCCTTCACATTATAAAAAAATCAGAGAGCCTAGTTGCAACTTAAATAACAGAAGAAACTTTTCCTTGTGAAGAATTACATACTACCTGGAAAAATGTTTTTATAGGTTTTTTTTAACTGACCAGAGTGTTGCCTCATAAAAGTTCAAGGGAAGAAATAATTTCACATAGTTATTGTTGTCTTCCTAGTATAATACCCAAGCATGCTGAATTAATGTGAAAGCAATGACACATGTGATTCTTTTTGGAAAAAAATTCTGCAATATTTCAAACCCAGTGGAAACTTTCCTATATGCTCCATTTGCACAGGTTTTAAACCCTTGACTCACTTATGATATAGTAAGTTTCTTGCAAAAAAAATCCATTAAAGACAATCAAATACTTGGAATTTATTGGTCTCTCAGGTGACTTATTTAAATCATCTCCTTGGGCTTATTAACAAATATAGGATATCTATGGATCAAGGAAATTACACGTTATTGTAGCCATCCTCAAGGGCAATCTGAAACCCTGTGTTATCTAAGACAGGAGTTGTCTGCATATGTTTATCTTATCAACTTCCCTTACCGTTAGTTTTTTTTTTTTTTTTGGTTTTTACGAGACAGGGTTTCTCTGTATTGTTTCAGAGGCTATCGGTCCAGCCCGGCCTCGAACTCACAGAGATCCGCCTGCCTCTGCCTCCCGAGTGCTGGGATTAAAGGCGTGTGCCACCACCGCCCGGCCCTTACCGTTAGTTTTAAGTAGCAAGTATTCATTGTGCTCTGTATTCACTTTACTGAAGGTTTTGTGAGCAATGGACATGTACTAGAAGATATTTTCCTTGTCCTCAGGAATGAATATACTCACCATTACCATTTTTACATTTCTCATCCCAATTTACTGAAAGGAGACATTTAGTCCCTCCCCTCAGACATTTATAAAGATACACTCCATATAGGACAGCATTCCGTCTAGATTCCATGTGATCACTGCTGATACACCCTTTATAGTACAAACCTTAGAAATACTGCTCCCTGCATAAAAGCATTTTTAAATGTGGATCCATTTTTTTGGAGTGGTGAGAATAGAGAATGGAGATTAGGCTAAATTTGACGAATTGCAACTGGCTGCTAATTTTGCGCATAGGAAATTCTATACCGTGATTTCAAAGTGGCATTAACTTTTAGTTGTTCTGTTTGGTAGGTGGTGTATTTTACAGCTCTTTTCCCATATGTGGTTCTCCTCATTCTGTTAATACGAGGTGCAACCTTGGAGGGAGCATCAAAAGGCATTTCGTATTACATTGGAGCACAGTCGAATTTTACAAAACTCAGAGAAGCTGAGGTAAGATTAAAGTTGGATTTAAAATTACCTGACAAGTTAAAACTTAAAGGCAAATATAAGAAGTTTGTTCCACATATATTATACTATAGTATCTTCCAAAATCATATGCAGTTAAATGATTAGTTTCTATCCTCTAGGATGTCTGATTAAGAGATGTAAGGACACTAATACTCTCATTGGAAGTAAGATCAATTTTAGCAATATTCTTGAAACTCACTGTGCTATTGTAACTTTTTTCTATTTGGTTATAGGTTTTTGGGTTTACTATTTTGAATAAAAGAATATTTCATACTTTAACACCTACAAATTAAAAGCTAGGATTATGGGACTTATTGGACAATCTTTCAGTAGCTTTAAAGAATACCTGAATATACATTTGGTTAACTTGAAAAGCTAATATGTCAAAGAACAGATCAAATTTTGTTCAGTGGAACACAGTTTTGCCCAGTTAGGACACAAGCTTGGTATAGATTAGGCATTCCAGAAATAAAACTATTACTTCTACCAGAAATACAGGGTTTCTGTGTGGCTTTGGAGGCTGTCTTGGAACTACATTTTGTAGACCAGGCTGGTCTCAAACTCACAGAGATCTGCCTACCTCTACCTCCCAAGTGCGGGGATTAAAGGCATGTGCCACCACCACCCGGCAAATTTATTTTTATTTTTATATATGTGGGTGTTTTGCCTGCAGAAACCAGAAGGTGTCAGAACCCCTGGAACTGGAGTTAGATGGTTGTGAGAGGGCTTGTGGGTGCTGGGAATGGAATCTGGGTCCTCTGGGAGAGCAGACAGCCATCCCTCTTAACCGCTGAGCTATCTCTCCAGTGTCTATCAGAAATATAATCACACGAATTGAATATAAATTTGAAAAAAATTACTTTAACATTATTATTTTTGTGTTGGGGGATGCACATGGCATGGCACACACATGGCATGGTGTACACGTGGAAGGCACAGGGTGGTTTTGTGGAGTCAGTTCTCTCCTCCCTCTATTCAGTTTCAGAGAACTTGGATCATCACACTTAGCAGAAAGGGTTCTTATTCACAGAGTCATCTCTCTGGCCCTGAATAGTTCTCTTCTGAGTGTAGTCTATTTCCAGATAATGGCTGTGTATCATGGGAATATAAAATGTTTTACAGTTATAACTGCAGAGCATTAACAATAAACTTACACAGCTACCATGCTTCTGTTGATATAGCCCAAGGAGACTTACATATTTTTAGTAGTTACATCAAATTCTTGGCACATACTAAATTTACTCCTAATCTTATATTAAAATTGAGGGGGAAAATTTATGCTAATATTACCTGCCACATCAGGAGTACTATCCAAAGTGGATAGTTTTAGGTTTCTATTGTCTTTTACATAAAAAATGCTAACTTCCAGACATTGACATTTGTTTTTAAAATATTTACAAATGAGGCAGTAATTGTCAAGTCGGTCAGTTTCAGTCATGGTAATCTATCATTTTGAAAAATAGAAATGTAAATTTCTGATCTTTGGTTTCTTTTGCTGTGCCCAATAATTTTCACTCTGTGATTAACCACACCAGTCCTAATTATTGTAGAACCATGACACTTTATTATTATAGTCTTGGAGATTAATGTACTTTGATGTGTCCACAGGGCATTTTAACACATCTCTTAATTGGTCTTAGTCCTTATTCTTTTTAACCTTGTTTACAAATCCATTACCATCTAAGAGACAATTTTCGTTTATGTTATTAAACATGATAAAATGAGTTAATATCTATGGAAATAGAAAACTTATGTAAATGTGAGCTGGTGTACAATTATTTTAACTAGTGATGATACATCACAATATATTTACTTCATTTTTCCCTCAGAAGGTCACACATCTTCCATTTTCCTTAAATCTCATAACTTCAGTCACAGATGAAAAGCCCCTTTGATATGCTTAAGTGGCTTTTTATAAGTATATACTCCCTTGAAACTATCTTGAAGTTTTCATATGCATTTTACATTTGTCTGTTTCTGTGTCTCTATTATTAAAAAAGAATCAGACCTGCAGTTAAAGCTCCTGTGAAACATGTAATTTAGTTCTCTTACTCCTCCACTCCCCAGAGCAAATGACCACATTCCATGTGTTTTGGGTTTGCTGGTGATGACAATTGTTTTCCTTAGATTAGCATTCTTTCTCAATACTGATCTGACTCATCTATGTCAGCTCCTAAATCACATATGCATGCATAACATATCAAGTACTGAGGCTCACAGACTAACATAAGCATGAGATTCATCTCCTAAGATGGACAGCAACCAAAGAAATAAAGACATTTTATTTCTAACCTGATTTTGTAATATCTAAATGAATTTATCTTGGTTTCTCTGTATGTATCTATGTATTTACCCATCTATCTATCTCCCTTCATACAGACTTGCTATACTCTAGCATGAAAAGCACATTCTAAAGATCCAGTGATATTTTGCTTTCTAGAAAACTTGCTTCTATTGAAGTGTATTCAAATAAAAAATGATTGTTTTTAAGATCTATACAATAATCTAAAATTGTTTCGTGTTTGTTTCTCATAATACCAACAATAACTACCGTGGAGCATCTTTTAATTATTAATGTTATTGCTTGTACCTACCAAAGAAGTAAAGAGGTTAAACTGAAGTGACAGGGAATGAATGGTTTGGATGTAAACTTATTCTTTTTAATTCTAGAACCATACTTGTTATTCGCATACAGTCATGCTATTCAATCTGTGTTCCATTGACCAGTGTGATGTTACAAGAACTGAAAGACACTTTTGGCCACATAGAAATTAGTCCTATTATTTGAATTCTACACAAGTGGAGTTTTCTCTTTTGGGTGATATTATATCCAAAGGATTCCAATCTTAAAACAGATGAACCTGAATAAATCTCTAACTTAACTGCTGGCCTTTAACAAAGAGGAAGGAGGGACAAATTGTGAATTCAGTAATGATAAAGGAGTGGAATTAGACAAAGATCACAGGGCCGGGTGGGCTGTCTAGTAAAATCCTTGCGAAGAATTAATGTGGTTTTAATGTCCCATTGATATATAGAATCAATAGATTCAAATCAAATTTCCAACATAGGTAACTGTGGACAAATTCTCATGTCAGACACAAGACAGTATTACAAAAAGCACTACAATACTGTACTAATTAAAATAGTGAGGTTTTGGCATAGGAACAGCTAGGTGGTAAGGAATAATAATCTCAAATATGTTTATGAAGAAACAAAGCTTGGTATGTAGTAGAGGTAACAACGTATTTCAATCTGGAAAGGACAGATTATCCAATAGATGTCATTGATGTAATTTGTAATGTCAGTTACCCTTAAGCAATTGAAAATAATTTGAGGTGCAAACATGTGCAGCATAAATTATGTGTAACATTTCTGTTGCATGTAAAGACATTGCAGGGGAATTGAAATTTTGGTATTATAAACAAAGGTGTTTCATTTAGAGGATACAGAATAACATCCTTATAACCTTGAGCTAAGCTTTGTTTTCAGACAACACGGCTGAAGACACACACAGGTAAGCAAAGCTGAATAATTTCAACTACATTAAACAGCAATAACAAAAATATTTTGACTCATTGAAGGACACAATGTAAAGAATAGAAAAAACAAGCAACAGATTGGGAGGGTAAAGTCCTCAAGATACAACACACTGAAGATTAGAATTCAGTTTCAAAATGAATTTCTAGGTGTGGTGTGGTATGCATAACTTAAGTTCCTCCACATACTTTTAGAGGCAGAAGCAGACAGATCTCTGTGATCTCTGCTTATGGTGTTCCAAGTCAGCTCCAGCTACAAAAACCCCATTTCATTGAGGGCGCTGGAGGGAAATTTCCTAGAAATCAAATAAAGCAAATAATCCAAAAGGTGAAGTGTGTGGACAGAAATTTTACAAAAAGAAAGTCCTGTGGAAAACGCTAACTTTTGATAACTAATAGTTGCAATCTAACTCTTAATTCAAGGCCCTTCGATTAGGTGATTAGGTCAAATGAAAAATTCTGACAAAGTGTTGCTAATGCTATATAGCAGTGGTTCTAAACCTTCCTTTAATACAGTTCCTCATGTTGTGGTGACCAGAAAATTATTTCATTGTTACTTCATAACTAATTTTGCTACTGTTATGAATCATAATGTAAATATCTGATATGCAGGGGTTGTGACCCACAGTTACTCCTGGAGAATGAAAAAACACATGGAGACATTAAAAATTCATTGTTTTTTTCCTCTTGATGGTTGATATTTAGGCATTCATTTCATTATTTTATAATATACATCCATATCATATTACTTGTAATTTATTTCATATGAGTTAAATTTATGAGTACATGTTAAAACTTTTAAAATTTATCTTACAGGTTTGGAAAGATGCTGCCACCCAGATATTTTATTCCCTTTCTGTGGCTTGGGGTGGCCTAGTAGCTCTATCATCTTACAACAAGTTCAACAACAACTGTTACTCTGATGCCATTGTCGTTTGCTTGACAAACTGTCTCACTAGTGTGTTTGCTGGGTTTGCTATTTTTTCTATATTGGGACACATGGCTCATATATCCGGAAAGGAAGTCTCTCAAGTTGTAAAATCAGGTATATAATTCTGGATGCTCCCAAGGATTAATTGAGTATAGCTCACTTGTGAAATTCTGGTATAGTTTACAGTCACCTATACTTATGATTAGAGTATTTTCTTGGTTCATCTGATATAATGTATTTTAATATAGTAGTTCCTAAAAGATCTGGATACACAGAGTATTTTAGGGAATAGTTATTCAAGAAGACATAATGTTGGGAACATAGTTCGGTTGATAGAGTGTTTGTCAGGCATGCACAATGGCCTAAGTTTTATTTCTCGCACCTCATTAACCAAGTGCTGTGTCATTTGCGCATAATCTCAGCACTTAGGATATTGAGTTAGGAGGATTAGGAGGTCAAGACTAGCCTTATTTGCTGAGAGAAATGGAGGCCAGCTGAGGCTGCATGAAAAGACATTTTTTATTTTTATTTAATCCTTAATATGAACCACTCAACATGAGATTAGAAGGTTCGGGTATTATATTAAGCATGTTCTATCTTTATGAAAGAAACAATTATGATCAAATTTTCCTATGTTCACCTACAGCATTGGGCTTGAACTTTTAAACTTATCAATGTAAAGGAAGAATAGAGTATCTCAGCACATAACTGTGTCCAGTTTTCAAGGAATCTGATTAATAAACTTTCTAACCTTACAGACAATAGTTAATGGATGTTTATTATCCAGATTAAGTCTGGTGGGAAAAGAATTCTAGGATTCTTAAGCAGGAACCCCTTGGAAACATTTATTATATTTGTATAATATAACAGAAACACTGATGAGTGATAGCAGAATCCCTGTATTAGCAGGGATTTTGGAGATTATTTTATGTCCATTTCCTTATAGTGCGCTGGTACACATAAATGATATATCTTGCACAAGTGCAAATATTTAGAAGGCGATAGAGCCTACTTTAAAATCTAATGCTGTGATTTCTATGTTAGTCCTCTGGGAAAGTAGAGCAACTGAAAATACTTAAAACTGAGGGTCACATAGAAAAATTTAAACAAACTACAAAGTGCTTTTAGATGTAATATCAAATAGAAAATGAGATTCCTTCTAGGACTTTAGTATATTCAACCTTGCATGTATCTGTAAACTGAAATAGTATTACTCATAATAATTTTGGGTAAACATTGGGAAGATGGTAGAAGACTAAATTCATTCCAGCTGTGCATAGTGATGAATGCCTTTAATTCTAGCACTAGGAAGCCAGAGGATGGCATTTCTGTGAGTTTGAGGCCAAACTTGTCCACGTGGTAAATTCCAGAACAGCTAGGGCTACATATAAAGACCCTGTTTCAAAAATCAACGTCAACTACAAAAATTCTTTATATGCATGGATTTTTCTAGATAGTTGAATTTTATTTTATTTTTCACAAATTTTGAAATAGGTGAACTTAATCTTTCGCTGTTTAAGAAATATGTTCTCCTTCACCAATATTTTTGCTACTGTTGTTATTTGACACAGGGTCTCCTGGAGCCCAAGCTGGTGTCAAATTATGTATAGGTGAAGGATGATATTGAACTCCTGATCCTCCCTTCCCCCACATCCCAATTCCTGGGATATCAGGTGTGTGTCATCACACCTTCCATTAATCAGTTGATTAAGTAATGGATAAAACCAGTTGCTAGCTAAGCATAAGTTCCTGAGTTCAATATATATATTGTGTGCCTATGTGTGAAAATCTGTAATACCAGAACTTCGTTTTAGGGATGACATGCAAAGATAAGAGAATTCTTGCTCATGGGCCAGTTACCTGGGAATACACAGCAGAAAAACAACAAAGAGGCCTCATTTCAACTAGACAGAAAGCAAAGACCAACATCCAAGGTTGTTCTTTGAACATGCACACTTTGGCACTTGAATTCCTGAACTCATGCATGAATGAACACACACACACACACACACACACACACACACACACACACACATACACACATGCACGCACACACACACACACCACCCCATAAGATTTAAAAGTCTAAAACAAGTTTCCTGAGAAAAATTGTATTAGCTTAACTCATGCCACACATTCACATTAGTATAACAATTCAAAGATTTTGTATATTTATTAAAATTTTGTGTATTTATTATTACTATGTATTAGAAAGAAGGCAAGAGAGAAAGGGAGTGAGTAAGTGAGTGAGTGAGTGAGTGAGTGTGCATGTCACAGTGTTTTTGTGGAGTTTAGAGGACAAATTTCTGAAATCTATTCTCTCTTGCCACTGTGGGTTCTGGGGATCTATCTCTGGTCATCAAACTTAAGTGACAAGTGCTCTTACCCAATAATCCACCTCTCTGGCTTCCAAATAAAACATTGTAAGAAGTTAATTGGTAAAGAGTGTATGTAATGGAATGCATTGTTAAATCATGATGGGATTTTAAAAGTATATTATTTTGAAAATGTTCAAATTTGTAAATTTTCTTGGCAATTAATTTAAAATATCCCACATTTTTCTAGGGTTTGATTTGGCATTCATTGCCTATCCAGAAGCTCTAGCCCAACTCCCAGGTGGTCCATTTTGGTCCGTATTGTTTTTCTTCATGCTTTTAACATTGGGTCTGGATTCTCAATTTGCTTCTATTGGTAAGTAATACTTTTGGTGTTAAATAACTGTCTCTGATATTTTATTCCCATTTCCCTTATTTGAAAACACCCTGTTTTATTATCATAGTATCTCCTTTTAGACACTATTAACAGAATGAATTTTATGAGTTATTTTAATTTAGAAATTAAATACATAAAAATACAATATACTTATATACTTGACACTAAAAAAACAAAATATTAATGCTTTAGTATATTTGCTCCAGATAAGTACTTTAGAAGGTGTAATTTTTGGTCTCTTTAGTCAGAATTTTGCATTTGTTTCTTAATTCAATGTACACTATTTAAAGCAAGGAAAAAATGGCTACCATTTCACCTTTCCTACCCTGTGTACCTAGAGACAATTTACTGGACAATCTCATTTCTCCCTGAAAAATTGGTTCTTACTTGAGAGAGTTTTAACAAAACTTTCACAAACAAGTTCTCATTTTTTGTAGAGGCAATAATTTGGCATGTGTGTATGCATGCAAACTCGAGTGTTTGTGTGTACATACATACACATATGAATGCATATATATATATACACACATACGTCCATAAGTAATATAAATTTAAGCATTTCATGGTATATATGCTACTTACCAAGACATAAGGATCTATTTAATTGATAACATATTGCCATATTGATGGATATTTTGATCCCTCTTTTAAAAATTCTATACACTGCAGACATGAAGTAGTCCTAATTGGAAAAGTTAGTGCTGTTCAGTCATCATGATCTTAGTGTGATCTTCAGTATCCTTATAATATCTGGGCAATGTGGCACACCTCTTAATCCCAATGCTGGAGAGATGAAGACAGGAGCATCCCTTGGGGGAGGGTCACTGATTAGCAAGTAGTGTCCATTTGTGAGCTATAGGTTCAGTAAAAAACTGTTTAAAAAAAGCCAGAGTGGAAAGCACTTGAGAAACAAGAAATGCCCACTTACATGGAATGCACTTGAGCACATGTCCCCTACACATGTGTTTGCACACACACACACACACACACACACACCACAATATATGTATTATTCTTATGTATGTTTCTGTGTATACAAAAGAAATTTCCTGAAGGTTTATAACTAGAAAATTTGAAACAAGTTTATTATTTTATTTTATTAATTGAGTATTTCATACAATGTATTTAGATCAAATTAAAGCCTGACTCATCCCAGGTCAACCCTCACTTCTAAATCCCTCCAGATTTCATGTCTTTTCTTTAATAAACTACTGAGTCCAATTTGTTCTGCTTATATACATAGTGTGAGCATGGATGACCCACCAAATGCCATACCTTTATAGAAAATTGATTTTTACTCTCTTACTCACTGGGCTGAATGTTGATTGATTTGATCTTTTGCAGACATGTTGTGAGTTATTGGTTCTGTCATGAACAAACCTTCCTGCACTCTCTTCAATGATGGTCCCTAAGCCTTGGGATGTGTGTGTGTGTGTGTGTGTGTGTGTGTGTGTGTGTGTGTTATAGATATTCCATTTATGGCTGAGCATACATACACTCACAGACACACACACACACACACACACTTTACATTACACACACGGAAGGGATAACTCTTCATACACATGATTCCATGTACACAAAAGAAATTTCCTTAAAGCACACAACTAGAAAATTTGAAACAATTTTTATATCATTGTCTTATATAACATATTTTTCTTAGTTTATTCTGTCTATAGGCCAAATTCAAGGTTCCTCTGGTTTATTTCCAAAGCCTTCGAAACTGTCAAATTTATTTATTATAAATCTTTTGGCTTATATATTTTTCTATTTTTAGATAAGTCTCTGTGTAGAAAACACTATTCTTTCCTTCTTTCCTCCTTCTCCCCTTCCTCTTTCTTCCCATCTCCTCATCTCTATCCTTCTATCTCCCTGTCCTGTTTTCCTACTCCCAGAGCACACTTCCTCTTCCTTTTTACCCTGTCTCCTCTTCCTCTTCCTTGTTTTGCAGTGACTCCTCTCTCTTCTTCTCCATTCACCCCTGTGTCTGCTGGAAACTAAACCTCGGAACTAAGAGAAAAGATCTTGCCTGGCAGTGGTGTCACAAGCCTTTAATCCCAGCAATCAGGAGGCAGAGAAAGGCAGATGTCTGTGAGTTCGAGGCCAGCTTGTACTGGAAAACAACATACAAAACACACACACACACACACACACACACACATACATACATACATACACACACACACACACACAGAGAGAGAGAGAGAGCCTTCTTGCCTTCTTGCCTTTTAGAAAAGAGTAAATCCCAGAGTATACTCCCTGTTTATATGTGTAAATTTCATTAATAGATACTGAATTCTGTGACTAGTCTTACTCAGTTGAAATGTAACAAACCATTCCACCTCCTCTAGAAACAATTACAACAACAATTCAAGATTTGTTTCCCAAAGTAATGAAACGCATGAGGGTTCCTATCACTTTGGGTTGCTGCTTGGTTCTGTTTCTTCTTGGTCTCGTCTGTGTGACTCAGGTACAGTATAGTTTTTAACTTCTGTAGACAGGTATTAGTTGGAATATAATTTTAAATTAAATATACTGAGCATTTCTATTCAAGTTAATTTCCACATTTTGGCCATTTCCTCCTTTGTATCTTTGATAGTACATATTTTTCAGAGGAGAAGGCCCAACAATAACAATTTTGTAAGTAACAAAATGATTATAAACTGTATTTTTCTTGGTGACTATTACAAAGCTCATAATATAGGATATAGTATGTGATATCTATATATTATAAATGCTATATATATGTATATATATAAAGATCCTATAGATACTATGTATACAGAGATCATAGATACTATATGCCATTTATACTAACTGTTCTAAATGCTTACATGTTGTTAATGTTAGAAAAAACTGTTAGGTAATTAAACCCACATTTGAGCTTATACACAAAATACACTTTTCATATATTGTTTAAATATATTCTACTTAAATACTTTACAAAAATGAAAAAATTGTTAAAATACGGTTGTAAATAACTGGTGTGAATTTCGTTTTCTGTTTTTGTCTTGTTTTCTTGTAGGCTGGAATTTACTGGGTTCATTTAATCGATCACTTCTGTGCTGGATGGGGGATTCTGATTGCAGCTATCTTGGAAATTGCAGGAATCATCTGGATTTATGGTAAGTGACTGAAGGTTCGTTTATAAGACTTATATAATATCATTTGATTTCCTTTTCATTAAGATTATGTAATCATCCAATTTTAATTACACATATAATAGTAAAATGTGACCTGTTGAACAAAACGCATTAGGAATGAAATGGAATTTAAGATGTATGCTTGACTGTTGTTGTTTAGCAATGTGTTTAAATGAAAAAGGATATTATGTATGACAATCTCCGTGGAAACCTGTAAGAAAGGGCTCATGGTCTGAAATTGTTTTCTTTAGGAGGGAATAGATTCATTGAAGATATAGAAATGATGATTGGAGCAAAGAGATGGATATTCTGGCTCTGGTGGAGAGCTTGCTGGTTTGTCATTACACCTATCCTGTTATCTGTAAGTAACAATATACAATGAACTTGGTACAGATAATATAGCTCATATCTTTAAATGTTAGTAAGGAACTTGAAGGACAATTCCAATTGGGAAAATAAGTAAATAATTTGGGGTATTAGTAGTTTTCAAACTTTTAGATTTTACTGCTGGTGTCTTCACACTGTCTGAATTAAAATGCCATTGCAGTATTATTTTTTGAGGCCATGGGTGTAAACATTGCTCATTTGAGACAATAAAGAACTCTCTGTAGAAGTAAAGATATCAACAACTGAAAATGACCAATAGGATAAAAAATATCAGTAGGATAAACAATAGAAATAATAAATTTACTCATTATTTGAAAAGTATGGTGTGCCCTTTAACTTCTATGCCAGAAAGTACAAAGCCAGAGAGGAACCAGATATTATCTTTATTTTCTTATTTTTTATTGTTTTGGTTTTTTGAGACACGTCTGTGTAGTCTTGACTGTCCTGGAACTTGCTCTATAGACCAGGCTTGGCTCGAACTTACAGAGATGTGCTTATTTCTGCCTTCTGAGTGTGCCACTACTGCTCAGCAGGATGAGAACTTTAAATGATTATTATTTTAAAAAATAATATTAAGATATTAATGTGTACTTTTTAGTTGATGGTTGAGGTACTTATCTGAAATTACTAAAAGAATCTCACGTCAATATGTATAATGTTTTCTATTAATAAATTCAATGACTGACACTACTTAGGAGCTGAGAAAAGTAAATGATGGCTTCTTGAATATCTAAGATCTTCAAAGAACAGTCCAGTAGATTAGGTCCCCGAGTGTCAAAACTGAACAATTCTCAAGATGGAGAATTATTGTGGCCCAAAGTTAATCACACAGGTCAAGACTAGCAGTTTTGAAGATGTTGCTATCATGACAGTCAAAGGAATTCCTAAAGAACACCTTGGAATAGTTACAGTTGATTCATTTCCATGGCATATTATTTGTTTTTAGATATACTATATTTTGTGTTTTAATGTTATGATATCACTTTTAGGTAGTGAGTAGAGTATATATGAAGAATCTAAATATTTGTATGCTTCATAGCCTTGCTTGAATGTCTTTGAAAGTGTCACTAAGTATCATTGTCCTATTTGAAAAGTTTTTTTCAATAAGATAAACATCCTGTAAACTTACAAAGTCTAAATAGACTTCTTAACCATTTCTTTTCTGACCCTACTGGTGATGGCAAGTAGGCCTTTCATTATCTAAGGAGGAAGTCTACCTCTGAGTGGTATTCCCTTCTTCATTACGGAAAATTGTGATGTCTTGTTTTCTGAGACGTTTATTTCACTTAGCACAATGATCTCCAGTTCGACTTATTTTCCACAAATATCGTAATTTCATTCTTCTTTATGACTTAATAAAACTCTATTGTTTATATTTATCACAAAAGATTATGAAGTATTAGAATACCCTTTCTGGTTTTATCTGTAGTCTGCCATGTGGAATTCTGGGTACAATGGAGTCTCTGAGCTTTCTTAGCTTGTAGGCTTATCCTGAGCTGGTTCAGGGTCAAAACTTCTGTAGTACTTCTTTCTTTTCAGGAGTTTCCCTTCTTTGCTTATTAAGAATCTCTGCTAACTACACTTAAATTTGCATCCCATGGGTAGATTTAGCCACGGACCACAATATCTGGTTTGCGTAACTCAAGGTGCCTAATGTTCAAACCATAAGCTTGTGTGTTTAGCAGGCTAAGCTTCAAAAACCTTAGGGGTTGTGTAAAAAGGGGTAGAAGAAGAAAACCCAACTTGGCCTGATCCTCAGGAAGCTTTCCTCCTCGCCCGCAGTTGACTCAGATGGCAGTCAGTCATTGGGCTGTCCACTAAAGGGCTTAAGGCTGTAAATATCAGAAATTATCAAGAGGATGGGGTCTATTGTGTGACACCTTTGTGGTGCTATTAAGTCTAGATGTTTTATAGTCATAGCCCTACCAGACTCGGGGAATAACAAAGTGGATTTCCTCTCCACTGCTGACACAGGATGAGTCACTGTTTCACCAAATGCTATAAATAGATCCAAGACTTGTGAGAACTGTTGGCTTGTGTTATAATTAGGATTGCCAGACTTTTTCATCAGAGTTATGTGGTTTGCCCCTTAGATTGCATTCTGTTTCTCTTCCCCACATTGGGTAGCTACGTATAGCCCACTCCATTTCACCATGTCATCTTCTGCTTCTCTACAGTTTTCAGCTATTCTAGCACTTATTTTTTTTAACCTACACAGAGAGAGGGCAGGGAGAGAGCACTCTTGGTCAGAGGACAACATGTGGGAGTCAGTTCTCTCTTTTCACCCTGGGTTCTAAGAATTGAATTCAAGTCCTCAGTCTTGCCCATTAAGCAACCTTGATAGGAGTCACCCTTTCTTTTTCAATTTTCTGATAACATTCTAATCTCTCTATCTTTGGAATAGAGTACATTAATTACTAATCTACTTTTTATTTAATTAATTTTCTAACTCACTACCTTATACGACACTGAAAAAAACTTGCAACAGAGATATACCTCAGACTCATAGAAGTTAGACTCCAATCTCTTGGGGAGTACTTCTGGCACACTGTCTCCTTGGTTGAGAATAAAAATAGACTAAAGCAAAGAAATTAAATGTATTATTAGTATTCCTTGAGTGCTGGTTGATAACAACTTGTGTTTGTTTTTTGAGACAGGGTCTTAATATGTAGCCTTGACTGGTCTGGCATTCATTATGTATATCAGGCTGGCCTTGAAAGTTCAAGTATCTGCCTCCTGAATGCTGGGATTAATGGATTCCCCCATATGAGGCCTGATTGGTAGCTTTTGAAAAATTAATTCTAGGTTAGCAAATACATGAATCTTCCTGTGTGTATATATACATGTATAATTCCCTTGCCAGTTCCAACTGATTCTCCCCATATGGAAGTGTGTTATGCATGCATATGTGTGTGTGTATCAGTTCAGCAGTAAAACATGTTTATTTTGGGAAAAGAATAGTACAAGTTGGAGATTAGCTCCCAGAGCATCTCCTAAATACCTTACTTACTTCTAGTGAAAACTACCCTATAGAAGGATTCTTTCTCAGTCTAGATACACGAGGGAGGGCCTAGGTCCTGCCACAAATGATGTGACAGATTTTGATGATTTCTCATGGGAGGCCTCACCTTCTCTAAGGAGTAGATGCCAAGTGGAATGGGGGTGGTGGTGGGGGGAATAGAAGGACAGGAGGGAGAGGGAACTGGGATTGGTATGTAAAAATATGATTTTTATTTAAATAAAAATAATTAAAAATAAAACTATCTAAAAATCATTCAAAGCAGTATTTTTCAAAGTTCCTAATGCTGTGACCCTTTAATACAGTTCCTTATGTTGTGGTGACCCTCCAACCATAATATTATTTTCATCACTATCTCATGATTTTGCTACTGTTATGAACTGTAATGTAAATATCTGTGTTTCCCATCTTAGGCGACCTCTATGAAAGGGCTGGTTGACTCCCAAAGGGTCGTGATCCACAGGTTGAGAAGTGATTACTGAATTTTATCACCTTTGTTGAAGGAGGGTCTTCTGTATTTCAGGCTGGCCTTGAAATCAGAATGTAGCTGAGCATTATTTTGACCTCCTGATCCTCCTGCCTCCATCTTTTCAATTCAGATGAATCTCACTTTTTTGCCACATTTATTTGAACTTACATCATTAAAACTTTTTTGGTCAAGAAGAGTCTAGGAGGGAATTGTGCTTTGGAAAACATGTGCCAGTACTATGTGTTTAAATTTGAGTTGGTGGGGGTAATGTCTTGTGCAATGCATAATAAGCAGTTGCTAAGGAAGGACAGAAACATACCTCTTACGTGTACTTGTACATTCTCACTGGATTTTTAATATACAGGCTGGTAAGCTTATGGTATAGACTGAAGCATGCTAACAGTTCAATATCCTTGTATCCACAAAAGGGGTGATGAATAAGGTAATTCTATTCCCTTGTATATGTATTAACAAGAGGGGTGTTGGATGAGGTAACTATTTTTATTTCATTTTAAAAAGCTCTATAATGCTATCTATAGTGATTGTACTAATTTACATTCTGATAAATAGTATGCAAGGGTTCTCTTAATTCCACACCCATGTAAACAATTTCACTATTGGATATATTCAAAGCTATGAAGTCAATATGTGGTAAAGCAATGCATACTTCAGTGTTCAGTACAGCACTATTTACTACAGCCAACGAATGAAAATAGCTGAAGTGACTGCCAAGTGATGACTAGATGAAGGGAATGAAGAACTTAGTACAACTACCAGGCATGGTGGCTCACACTGGCAAAGAAAGCATTCAGAAGGTTAAAGCAAAATGGGTTCTCTGGTTCAGAGCCAAACAAGGTTACATTAAGTTCAAGGCAAGCCTGGATCATAGAGTTAGACTATATAGCAAAACAAGAAACAGACAAAAATCAATAAAAGCAAGTGTGGTACATACAGTGAACTCTATTCAGCAATATAAACAATAACTCTTTTCGATTTTGACATGAATGGAAGGGAAGGATGTTAAGTGGAGTAAGCCAGGCATAGTAAAAGTAATACTTCAGAAACTCAATCAGATGAGGAAGGTTAATACATTATATAGTTGTAGTGAGAATAAAAAAGACCATAATCAGAGGTCTTGAACATTGGAGGTGGGGGCTGGGGAGTAGATACTAAGTTACAGTTCAATTGGAGCAAGGAACTCTGCTACATAATTGCCGAAGAGGGAAAAATGAACAATAATGTACAATATAATTTCAAACTTTATAACAGAAGAAGGAGTTATGAAAGTTGCCATAAAGGGTAAAGTTTAAGGCAGTAAGTATTTAGCCTGGTATACATACTATATAGTATGCTGATATATGAAAAAAATATGGCACTAAACTTATGTCAATTATTTTTGTTTTTTTGAGACAGGGTTTCTCTGCATTGTTTTGGAGGCTGTCCTGGAACTTGCTCTGTAGACCAGGCTAGCCTCAAACTCACAGAGATCAGCCTGCCTCTGCCTCCCGAGTGCTGGAAGGCGTGTGCCACCAACGCCCAGTCTTATGTCAATTTTTATACTTTCGATTATCTATTAAAAAGGAAATGGCCAGGCACAGTGGTAGACATCTTTAATCCCAGTACTCAAGTGCCAGAAGCAGGAATATGTGTTTGAGTCAAGGCCAGCCTGGTCTACATTCAGGCCAGCCAAGGATATACAGGAGGAACCTATTTCCAAAAACAAAAGAAAAAAATTAGGCTAGAAAGATTATTCATTGGGTAAGAGCACTGGCTGCTCTTCCAAAAGAACCAGGTTTCATTCCCAGCATGTACACAGCAGCTTACAACTGTAACACAAGTTACAAGGCATCTGTTTTCCTCTTCTGGTATCCATGGGCACCAGGCCTACACATGATGCACAGACATGCAGGCAAAACATTCACACACATGAAATAATACAAAAAATCATCAAAGACTTGACAGTAAAACACCTCAGATTTATTTTATTTATGTATAATCAAGGGTTTTGAATATAGGTTGAATAAATAGATCTTTTATGAATAAGTGGAGGATTTAAAAATTTTAGAATTTCTTCAAAGTAGAAATAGAAATTTGGTTCACATTGTATTGCTGTCTTCTGGCTTGTTACCCATTTATCTTAGGTCCTTAATTATAATTTCATTTTATTGTTTGAAATTTCGAACTATGAATCATTTATAACACCAAGTCTAATCCTTTAGTCTAACTTGGTCTTTTTACTGCGCTGCTTTTTTAGGCCATTCTAGTCTGGTCACTGGTGAAATTTCACAGACCTAAGTATGCTGATATCCCATACCCTGACTGGGGGGTTGCTCTAGGCTGGTGTATGATTATTTTCTGCATCGTTTGGATACCAATTGCGGCGATCATAAAAATAGTTCAGGCTGAAGGAAACATCCTGCAGGTAAGCATATTCAATTCTTATTTTGTATAAACACTTGTCATAAAATGCATTTAAGAGTGTAGAGGAGATGAGAGAGTACCCTTCCCTCTGACTACTTCTACACCCAATATTATCATGTTTCACATTATATTATATATGATAATAAAATAATGTATGTATGAATGTTTGAATCTACTTGTATTTATTTTAAGTTTTTTTGTAGAAGTCTGTTACCGTATCCTCAGGCTCTATTACACTCCTCAGCATGTAGCAATTGTGATCTCTGTATTTGTACAGTCATCCTTGAGATGTCAAAAATCATATGACTCATTTGCTTCTTCTACGTGTAATCTCGTTTGAATCCTCATCTGGGTATAATGAGAATCCTAAGTGTATTTAAACTGAGCTTAAATTGTCTTTCATCACTTATAGCCTTTGAATCATCTTTCTTCCACAGAGGCCTAGGGTGATAGATTTAAGTCTTCATAGTAGAGCAATGACAAGATAGGCTTAGGAGACTTTATTTCAGTAAATTCCTATGTATATCTAAGAACAGATCCAAATAAATGGCTTGGCACCTGGAAGTCCCTTATCTAACTTTTTTTTTAATTTCAAATTTTATTTTTCATTTTACATACCAACCCCAGTTCCCCTTACCTCTGCTTCCCCCCGCCTCCCTTTTTCTCACCCCCCATCCATTCCTCAGAGGGGGTAAGGTCTTCCTTGGGGAGTCAACAAAGTGTGGAATACCAAGTTGAGGCAGGACTAAGTTCCCCTCCATCAAGGGTGAGCGAGGTATCCCATCATAGGGAATAGGCTCCAAAATGCCAGTTCTTGCCCCTGGGATAGGTCCTGGTGCCACTGCCAGGGGGCCACGAAACAGGTCAAGTCATATATCTGTTACCCACATTCAGAGGTTCTAGTTAGGTTCCATGCAGGTTCCCCAGCTGTCAGTCCACAGCTTGGGTCAGCTGTCTCTGTGGTTTTCCATATTCCAGTGCACAAAAGTTTAGCTCTCCGTCTGACCCTCTGTGATAAGGACTGAAATGCCTAGAGTGACAGCATGGGCTCATAAACCATTCTTCTGAAATAATTATTTTTGATTTAGTAGAATAATTCTATTAACAATAACAATTTATTTGACTACACTTTCTTGTTTGAAGGCGTTGTTTAGGCTATCATTTCTTTACTTTTCTGTGATTGTTACATCATTGTTGCTAGTAAAGATACAATAAAAGTGTAGCTTAATATTTGCTTTTTAAAACTTAAAATCTAAGACAAGACTTTGTTGTTGCATTTCAGCGTATTGTAAGCTGCTGTAGACCAGCTTCTAACTGGGGCCCATACCTGGAAAAACATCGTGGGGAGAGATACAAAGACATGGCTGAACCTGCAAAGGAGACTGACCACGAAATACCTACTATTAGTGGCAGTAGAAAACCAGAATAAGATGTCCCTTTTGAAAACATCTGATTGTTATATAATGTGATCTTGTAGAGTAGGGAAATTCTTTTTAATTTATTTGTGTGTCAATCAAGCAGGGAAATGTACATGCCATGCTCAGTACAGAGTTGTAAGTACTTTTTTCACCCAATCAAGAATGAAATATAAAAATGTGAATTTATGAATGTTTAGTAATGTGCTTGTTTCCTTTTAGGATTAGCTATTTGTTAATACATATATCCAGTTATGTTTTACAATGACATTTTGTAAATATTACTGTAATATTTCTTTTTTTAGTATACTGGTTTCCCGTGAAGCAGCAATGCTTTGTACTTGACGATTTAAAAGACATTTGTTTCTGTAGTCTTAATATGCACTTTTCTTATTCATATAATGGGGAAACAGTAAGTCTGTGTAGTTACAGACAAGTGCTACATGATTGAAGTCTCATGTATAAAAGTCACAATGGGGCTTGGAAAGATTGCTCAGTGGTTAAGAGCTCTGGCAGAGGTTCAATTGTCAGCATCATCATGGTGACTAATACTGTCTGTAATTCCAGTTCTAGGGCATCCAATGTCTTCTTCTGGCCCCCATGACATTGCATGTATATGGTTTACATACATGCCGGCAAAACATCCATACATGGAAAATAAAAATGAATCTCTTTTTAAAAAAGAAATGTCACAAACATGTAGGGAGAGGGCTGTGTATGACATGAGGACTGTTTAATACATATGATCCAAATACGTCTAAACATGTCATCTAATTATTATGATTCATATTTTCTATACAAACCTTGAAGTTACACTCTTTACTTGGAGTGAAATGAGACAAAAATTGAGGAGCAGGTGGCCAGAATGGGATAAATCTAGCATATGAAATATTAATGTTTTGAGTATATCTTACCCTTCATAATATCTTTATTCTTTTGGTTGTATTTGGAATAACTCCATGACTCATTTAATTTCTATTGAGTCTCAAAAAATAAGTACTCCATTACATTTTCTGAATTCTAGATTCAACTGTAGGTAGAATTTGGATGAAATTGTTATTGATCTGGAATTTTTGATAATGATGTATGTCTAACAGATCAAGGGCAATAATATTATCTTTTATGGATTCATTCTTGCCTAAGAGTAATAAAGCATTTATATATTAATTGATATTAATTGTTAATTAGTTGTTACTTGCCGGGTGGTAGTGGCACACGCCATTAATCCCAGTACTCAGGAGGCAGAGGCAGGTGGATCTCTGTGAGTTGGAGGCCAGGCTGGACCCACAGCCTCCAAAACAATACAGAGAAACCCTGTCTCGTAAAAAACCAAAAAAAATTAGTTGTCACTAATAAAAATTCTATACTCTTGTTTCCTCACAAATAATGATACAGTTTAGGATAATATAACCTACCCTAACAGGGAACATTTCAAGTCATGCTGAGCTTTAGGAGCTCTCAAGACTAAAATTGTACCACTTTTTGTGGATAAATATTTGCATTTGGGGGGAGAGTGAGTCCATTGTTTTCATGAAAATGTCAAAGGAACCTATGACTTAAGAAAAAACATCTCTTAAGAATCATATACTGCCACCTAATTTGTATTTGGCAAGTGTGTACCAAGAGGAAACTTTTTTTAATGCATCATATCTCCTCCTTCATTCTTCTTTTGGTCAAAGACTGAATGAGAAAACCTATTAAGGTATCTCTTTAATTAGTAGAAGTAAGGGATTCTTAAAGGAGGTGGCATGCAGGCATAACAATAGACCTATAAGTAATACATCTCAATGATTCACATATAAGATAAACTTTTGTTGTTACCTTGAAGGCTTTCTTTGTGGATAAATCCAATGATGTGAGCCAGAGTAAAGAGATTAAGTCCTAGTTAACTTTGTATAGAATATTATGTGAGCTACATGATGGACGAAAGCTTAGAAAAATTAAATATGTGGATGCAATTTTGGAGGTGACATTTGGAATCTGTAGAGAAAATTTGGGCAGAGAGAGGATATAAAGGAATTTTTTTCAAAAGTTGGCCAAAAAGAATAAAGACTTGTATCACTAATTTCAAGTGTGAAAAAATAGATCTTAATCTATGGCAAAACTTATATTGCAAGGTGGCAAATAACAGCTCTTTTTTTTCATTATAAAGATTTTATACTAATAGTCTACAGTCAACTGTATAATAAACAGCTCCATGTATTTCTTCTCACTTTGATTAAACCTGTAGACAATTGCAGTATTAGGCTGCAATCCATTAGATTTCAAACTTAAATGAAGATATCATTGCTTTTTTGTCAGCTATAAACTTTTGAACTGCCTTTCCTTTTCTGTACTGTATGCTTCTACATCCCTTTTCTGCAATATATACTGGCCATGTAATTGACTCTTAAAATAAAACGCAAGCAAAGCAGTAAGTGTCTGGAATCTGTATCTGACATTCCCACTCCTTTAAATAATATATCTTTTTCAAGACACATAATCAGTTGAATCCCATCATGGTTTTAATCATTACTATCATTGTCATCATTCACACCTTGTACAGTGGGATTTTTTCATGATTTTTGCACAACTGTATAGGCTCCTGATGAACACGGTGTTCTCCAGTTCGTTGTGCTGGTATTCCAGTATTTTCATGCGCAGGAAAATTTTCTCATTATCCACATATGTTTGAGTGGAGATATTGGCTGAAATATATACTTCGTTGTTTCTGGAGGATGTAGCAGTGCTTCTTATTTGTTCTGCATGGGGTGTCTTGGGTGGCCTTTCATCCGTAATTAACTGTAAAAGAAATTTGACCATTGTGGTTTAGCAGAGCCTGGAGATTTCTGGGTGTTACCTCATGCCAATTTAATTATAAACACCAACTGATTCACCCTAAGAGCTAGAGATTAAAAATGTTTTGAAGGGTGACCCTGATTCACAAGTATGTTTTGCTTATGTATAGACTGAGGGGGGAGCCACAGAAGTTGTCTTGTAATACCAAAATGCTATACTTAAAATTTTTTCTAGAAAGTCCAGTAGTAGCCTTCACCCATGCCTTTGATTTTTATGTTAAAGTACTCCACTTGAAATTTTAAACATCAAGAGATCCACATGTAGACCTGAAATAACTGAATATACATAAAGTTCCCACTTAGCAAGCTAATAAAAAATAAAATAAAATACATGGGATCATGGTGGTCATTCATGCAGTTGCTTGTAAAGGCAATTACACTTATGTAATTTAATGGAACCTTGGCAGAAGAAAAAGAAAACAGATAAAAAGGAACTTGGCTATGGGATAGGGTGGCTTAGAGTGCAATAGAAAAAAATGAAATAAGAAGAGGGATTGATTCCTAAAATGAAATTGTGGTTTTAAATTAAAATATTTGGTTCACTTTGGATTGATTTTTGTTCATGGTGAAAGATAGGGAATACACTTGAAGATATAGGTATAGACAAGAAACTTCTGAAATGAGACTGCAACAACACAGAGAGAGTCCCAAGTATTAACAGATAGAACTATATGGAGCGGAAATGTTCTTGCCAGAAAGTAAATTATCAGTAGGGTAAATAGTTTGCAGAATGGGAGGAAATCTTTGCCAGCTAGATTTTTCAAAGAGGGAACTAATTTCCAGATTTTATAAAGAACTTCCAAATTTAAGCTGCTGAAGTCTCCAGTGAATTAGCAAACAGGCTGGTAGAATAGTTTTCAAAAGAAGAAACACAAATGGTCAATAAACATTTTCAAAATTAGTTCACTTCCCTAATCTAATCCCTAATCCTTAGGGAAATGCAAGTTAAAAAGACTTTGAAATTCCATCTCAGGCCAGTGAGAATGGCTACCATCAAGAAAACAAATGAGAACAGAATTGCCAAAGATGTACAGAAAGAGAAACCCATATTCACTGCTGGTGGGTTGCAAACTAGTAAACTACAGAAATAAATATGGAGATTTCTCTAAAAATTAAAGTGCCATGTGACCTAGATGTGTCATTCTTTACCATACTTCCAAAAGTACTCCACATCTTACCAAGAAGACTATTGCATATTCATGAATTTTGCTCTCTATTCACAATAGCTAAGAAATGGAACCAGCATACATATCCACTAAGAAATAAATGGGTACTGAAAATTTGTTACATATGTACCATGAAATTTCACTCAGATATAAGGAAAAATGAAATTTGCATGTAAGTGGATGTATCTAAAAGGTTTAATACTAACTAAAGTGACCCAAATTCTGAGAGACAAAAATAGCAATCTGTACATGCATAGGTATAAATGGGTGTAAACATAGGCAAAGTCAAAACATCTAGAAAGAACAGAACAGATAGGAGAAAAAAAGATTCCCCAGTAAAGTAGAGGGGAGTAAATAGAATACATATGACAGAGAAGCTGAAAATGGGGGTGGAAAGGGAATACAAGGAGGTAGGCAGGGAAGGAAGGGAGATGGAGATGATGAAGAGAGAACAAACCAACTGTAACATATTTTGTTTAAAAATGACATAATGATATCCACTACTTTTCATTTTGATATAAAAAATGAAATAAATAGGCCTGTGGTGGATTCATATATGGTTATTTGTAAAGGAAATTATGGATAAGTCATTTGTTTATTACACAAGTAATTTACTGCAGACAGGCAAATTCCAAATTCTACCACATGATAATCTAGTTAGACAAATTCACAGCTTCCCTGCTGCTAACACCTAGAGATTAGAAATATGTTCGAATGAACCCAACTAACACTCCTATCAGTAGTGGGCAAGTAGCCTGAACTGGCCATCTCCTGTGATCAGATTGACAACTATCCCAATTGTCATCAGAGGGTCTTCATCCAGTAACTGATGGATGCAGAGACCCACAGTCAAACATCGAGCAACTCATGGAATCCAGCTGAAGAGAGGGAAGAAGGATTGTAGGAACCAGAGTGGTCAAGAACATGACAAGAAAACCAACATAAACAACTAACCTGCCTCATGGGAACTCAGAGTCTGAACCAACAACCAGGGAATCTGCATGAGAACCAATGCACTTGTCTCCCCATTCCTGTCTACGACTTCAAGGGCCGCTTGTCAGTCTGACAGTGATTGACAGGTATTCACGACTTCCAGCCACCTACGCAGGATTCACTCACACCATGCCATGACTGCAGGCGGAGGATGAATGTTGCTGTGACGCGACCCTAGACCTAGGCCCTCTGCATACCTGTGACCATTGTGATGTTTGCTCTAGCTGGGGGACTCCTAGCTTCGGGAGCAGGCCTGTTCCTGGTGCTTTGACTGGCTCTTGGGAACCTATTCCTCATACTGGATTGCCTTGCTCAGCCTGAATAGAAGGGGAGGTGTTTACCCTTAGCACTGCTTGATAAGCTATGCTTTGCTTATACCCATGGGAGGCCTGCCCCTTTCTGAAAAGAGAGAAACGGATTGAGGTGTGGGAGCAGAGGAGGTGGAGGTATGGAATGGGAGGAGAGGAGGGAGGGGAAACTGTGGTCTGGGTGTCAAATAAATTCTAAAAAGAAATACGATAAATAGAAACTGATTCACAAGTGTGTTTTGTGCAGGTACAGATTCAAGAAAAACACGAAGGTCACCATGAAAACATGTCACTTAGGACACTTGAGTGCAGAGGAGAAATAATAGTGAGTCCCCATAAAGTTCCCAGTGGGATGGTGCGACAGGTGAAGCTAAGGAAGGGAAGGAGACAATTTTTAACAGGAGACGGTGATGGTAGGGAACTGGCACTTACAGCTCTCTTGTTCTCTTGTAGTTAGTGAGAGGTTCCCTGGAAAGTTGATCTAATCATTAGCGACCTATGTCTATCACTGACCACAACAATTGAATATAATGGAGAGAGCTTGGGAAACTCATGTGCGAGACAACTAATGCTGGAACTCTATTGAGACAGCAAGAGGCAACTGATGCTCTCCCCTTGATTCCCTTCCTCTTTCTGTGGTCTTACAACCACATGTCCATCCATATATTCGGCTAGTTTAATCTTAGGGCAGTCTAATCTTAGTCGGCTTACCTGGAAGAGTATTTTCAACACGGAATAAACAAAGGCAATTATAACGCTGGTCACAAGGATGAGTACAATATTCATGGTCGCTCCCTGGTACCTGCACCAGGCAGAGGGAGCAGCAGCAGCCGAATCTAGCAGGCAAGGTGGTCGAGTAGGATCAAGGAGCTCTCTTCCTTATCACCACTGCTGCGGTGATAACTGGCGGGAGCTGCCTGCTGCCCTGCCTTATATACTGCAGGTGACATCAGCACTCCTTACTGTGACCCCATAATCCCCTCTGGCGTAACCATTCTGGCCAGCAGGAAGGGGATACGCCCTGCGCACTGCCTGACTGGGTGTAGGATCAGGTCATTAGGCTGGAGAGAAAGAGAGAACAGGGGCGGGATTTCATTAGAACGATGCTTAGTTTATAAACAGATCCATCAAATGTGTGAAGTAAAAAACATTCATTCCCTCCTTTGCTCTTTAAAGATGATTATCTTTGATGTAACCTCCATCAATCACTTGAAGAGCAAACTTTTTTTTTTTAACAGAAACACTCCTTGTTCAATGAGTTGTGGGGTGGGTATTACCCTCAGCAATGGGGCTCTACTGTCAATTTGCAGATAGCAAGCCACTAATTTAGTGACAACTTGGGATGTGTGGGGGATTTTCATGTGACCCTCTCTACTAACAACTCAACTGAATGCAACCCGGACCCGCCATTGGAAGCCTTGCCTAGCTACAAGAGATGGCCATTTGATACTTTATATCCCCCATTACTACAAATCCTCATTATGATCACTTTCATAGATTCAAGGAAGTTTTCCATTGCACAAGGTTTCCACACCACCAGTTCCAGTCATCTCTCCCTGTACTCTCTCACCCACATACCCACTTACCTGATCTCCCCTTTCTATCTCCATCTTGTCCCAGTCTGCTGGTAAAAATCAACTCTATTTCCCTCTCCCAGGGAGATCAATACCTCCCAATGGTGGCTCAGCTTGTCGAAGTGTCCAACCAATGATTGATCTAACTTGAGGACCATGCCATGAGAGGGAGGCCATGCCTCACTTTGGATGGATGGCCAAGAACCAGAATCCAGATGCCCCAGAGACCCTGGTAGAACCAAACACGACTTGCAACAAAAGAATCAACAAAATTATTCTTAAAAATAATTCTTAAAAAGGCAGTGGTGGTGCATGCTTTTAATCCCAGCGCTCAGGAGACAGAGGCAGATGGATCTCTGTGAGTTTGAGACCAGCCTGGTATACAAGAACTAGTTCCAGGACAGTCTCCAAAGTCGCAGAGAAATCCTGTCTGGAATCCCCCCAAATATTCTTATATACTCAGCTTGGGGTCTAGTCTAGTTATTATCAAGGGAGGCTTCCTCCAGCAGCAGATGAAACAGATGCAGAGACCCAC